TATATATACGTACATATACGTAGTTTAAAATCTGATTTCAGACCTAAACTGTATTAAAATCTGATCTGAAAGTGTTTCAGTCTGAACGGTGAGATCACTCAGTAAATTATTTTTACTAAATTTTCAGATTTGTAAAAAAACAGGCAGATCAGATTTCATGTTTTTTTTTTGTAATTCATGATACACAAAGCACAGCAGAAAAAAACAAACATTTTTTTGTAATTCATGATACACAAAGCACAGCAGAAAAAAACAACAGTAAAACCAGATTACTGTATGTTCAGTGTGAACAAGCCTCAGTGTCTCACTGAAAACCAATTGAGCCACCAATTGAAAACCAGCCGTATCCTGTATGAGAAAGGTCCACACACAACCTTTAAATTGACATTAAATCTTTTCACACCAATCCAACTCTCGTTTCCTTTCTCATCAGCAATATTTCCAGCTGAAAGATTGCTGACAGACAGGGCTACCGCAGCGTTCATGGAAAAAAAGTTACCACTTTTTCTACTGCTTATTACTAGAAAAAAAGTCCTTTCCACAAACGACTGTGTTCACGCTATAGTGCTTTGTGTCATATCTGTACTCGATCAGGCTATGGACAGAATCCAAATGAAGCACCTGAGAATTTGCATCTGCATTTCAAACGCAGCCCTGCTGGATGCACTCAAGAAGCATGCTTCATGAAGATCACTATAAGACGCAGAGATATACATATCAATGACCTGCACAGGCCATTAAAAATTCAAACCAAGTGGTGCTCGCTATAAGAAGAGCAGAAATCACCTTCATATGCCTGCTGTATTTAAATATCAGCTCAAAGTCAAAAGCAGATTGACGGTTGTCACTCTACATCACATTCATTAACAGCGGTAAGTGTGAAGAGCAGCAGAGGACATGCTTTGAAAATCCTTTTTTAAGAACTTCAAAGCTAATGACTTTCCAAGGATGCGTAGATGACATTACAGAGTTCATGTTACACATTACAAACAAAAAATAATTGTATAAAGTTCTTATAAAGCTTATGGCATCTTAAAACACAGGGCTTGTGGGTGGAACCTGAAGAAACAATACAGGACAATGCAGCAGCTAAAGACATCCACCTGCATGCGTATAGCAGTGCTTTAAAAAGGGATACATTTAAAGACAACTTTTACGAATAAGTTTTACCATGGAAACAGTCTAACAGCTAAAGCGCAGCATGTTAATTAATCCATCATGGCTAAAAATATCATAACTAATTAAAGAAAGAAAATCTTGGTGTTTTAAAAAGGGATACATTTAAAGACAACTTTTCCAAGAAGGTTTTACCATGGAAACAGACTACCAGCTAAAGCACGGCACAATAACTAAACCATCACTGCAATAAATATCAAAACTAAAAAAGGAAAATAAAATTTAGACGACTCCTGCCATGCCAGAGCTTTTAACAATGCATTTGCATAATTTCTTTAGAAGAATTCATACAAAAATGAATAAATATCATGATTGTGTTAATTTGGTGATTCTTCTGGTCAAAATAAGCAGTGAACGTCTGAACAATATCACAAATTCTTGCTACATTACAGATGTACAGTAATCAACCGAGATGATGCCATCACAATTGCTTACTGAATTGTGATTGGTCATCTTTCACCGCCCCGCACTGGATAAAGAAAGAGTAACTATTATGGATTTATGCAACACAGATTCATTGGAAAATGTACCAACATTTTTGCTCCAAAAACGTACCTATTCCTGCAATAAACTGCTGTTTCTAGTGGCAGTAAAACACCAACATCTTTTATTCCTTTTCATCCAAATTATAATTACACGAGTAGACCATCAATTAGTACAGACTTGTTTTTGCACAGTTCCTTGCACAATACTATGTTACGACCTCAAAACACTTTTACCATACTACATAAATTAAATGTATTGAAATTTAAATTTATTACCATACTACATGATTTGTTAACTAATACATTTTGATGTTTGCATCACATAACTCCATATGTATGGCTTTTCTGATTGTAAACTTGCTCGTTGACTCGCCCGGTAGTACAGCACTGCACAACAAATCCCGTAAAACACGAGTCACGATAAAAGAGCTCAAAAACAGCAGGGCTGCTGCTTTAGCAAATGAGTTTTTATCTTGTGTTTGCTTTTGTTAACACTATCAGTTACGTTAAGTGTTATTTTCAAAACCGATAGAGCATTAACCTTTAAACGCCACTCACAAGACATTTAATTTAATAACCAGCGTTATAAAATGTTGCCAGATTCATGTTCATCTCACTGGACATTTCACTTTAGCAAAACATGCAAGAAACAATGCAATATTTAGCAACAATGTTACCACAGGCACATTTTTTTTTGAATGAGCCTGGGTTGGATTAATGAGATACTCACAGCCATATAGACAGCGGCGTACACACTGAGCGCCGCCTCTTTGGAAGGGAAGGTTTTGCGGGCTTGTAGGATGTCGTCCTCGTTGCCGGTGCAGGCTTCCTGATGGCTGATGTAGCGAAGAGCTTGCTGGCAACCCAGAGCTGTATAGTTGGGTTTACACACTGTCAGGAAATGAGGGGCCAGGTTTCCCGTTACCACCTGACCAGCGTTCACGAAGATGTCTGTAGTGAAAAGGCCAAACATGTATACACCTATGGAGAAGAAAACAGATAGAGATACCAATTACAACAAAAATGAATGCGTTATTTTGAATAGCTATACCATCAGTCAAAAAAAACCAATATGACTATTAAACACTTATATTTGATATTAAAATTCCCTACCTTCATTTGACATTAAAAGTATGTAATCCCTTAAAGAGAATCCATCAAGATGGGGCTTAAAATATGTATTTGACAAACATGACCTGGAAAATTGGTTCAATTATTCAGCGGCCTGTTTATGTGGGCTCGGTTAGCACAGTGCGCACCAGAACCGCAATTTCCTACTTAAGCACATTAAGGGGACGATACGACTAAGACTAGGTGATCTCCACAGTGGCACACATCTCGCCGCTGAGCTGTGAGGACGCATTAGAGGAGCTAATGTTCTGAGTTGATGAGATAATAACCAAACCTCATAATTGAACAGTCTTTCTCATCGCTGCTCTGTAAACCAAACCATAATACCTCAATTAAAAGAGCTCAAACATTGGATGTGCATGTCATTCTCAAGCTCTCAATTATATTCCAATTTCAATTATATTTGATTCCAATTAATTCAATGTTATATAGTATATGTACCACTACATTTAATAGTATATAAGAACCAAAACATAACAATGGATCTTTATCACTGTTGAACTGTAAGTTCAAAAGAACAGCATTTATTTGAAACAGACATCTTTCGTAAAATTATAAAATGTCTTTACTGTCACTTTTGATCAATTTAATGCATCCTTGCTGAAATAAAGAAATACATTTTCTTTTATTTAATATCTTTCTCACCCCAAACATTTGAATGGTATGTGCATATATATATACACACATATATTCATTATATTTCATTTGTTTTGGATCCAGGAAACACTGGTTTTTCTTTGGATTTTAAGAATCAATATGGAGATTGTTCAAATTAACATTGTGATTTATATTTTTACCTAGTCCAACACTGATGACCTCATCATCAAAAATCTGAACAAAACTATGCAAGGTCAAAGAAAATGAGCTAGACTTCACTGAACATGGGCAACAGTTTTGTTGGCTCACCAGCTGACGATTCTGAAGCAAAACGAGAACCACTGAGCTTGAGGAACCCCAAATCATGACGGACACGTCACAAATTAGTCTTCTCCCTTCATAATATACCCTTCTGTTCTGAGGAGTTTTACAATGGTAGATATTGGCCGAGGAACAGGAAGACACCATTGTTTCTTAAAGAGCTCCGTTTTTCTCCTTCACTCCTAAATGTCATGTTCTTTTTGTTTGGAACATACGGTGGCCGAGAAGTGCAAAGCAAATCACAATTCTGAAAACAAAATAACAAATTACAAATGCAAATGCAAGTCTAAAAAACAAAATAACAATTCAGAAAGCACAACAACAATTCAGAAAACATTATAACAAGTCAGAAAATACAACAACAAATCAGACAAACCGGAAAAGGTAGGTATAGTTTGAGACAGCGTCATTGGTTTGGGATTACTCACCGCTGACTGGACGAGACATCTGTCAGTCAAAAAATACGGAGTGTCTATTTACATTTAGTTAAAAGTGCCTGTAAAACATCAGCTCCAGTGGCGCAGATGGATAAGCGCTAATCGTTGGCATTTTGACGCGTTCGATCCGGGTTTGCCGAACTTTTTTTTCTCCCTTTTCAAATCTCGTACCACATCGTAAAGGCATTTATTTTCAATAAAAATTAAGGAAATAATCAAAAAGTTGAAAAAGTATCGGGTAGGGTTAGGGTAGGTGTAGGGAGGGCTTTATTGTACCAATAAGGTGGCATCCATTTAATAATTAAAATTATAATTTGCACTCAATACATTATTATTGCATACTGTTTTATAATGTACTACAGTACTGAAGTGCAGATAATTGCCACTATTTGCAACAAGTAGTATACTTGATAGTAGAAATCGTTCTTCCCTGTATACGTTGATTGACAGATGTCTCGTCCAGTCAGCGGTGAGTAATCCCAAACCAATGGTGCTGTCTCAAACTATACCTACCTCTTCCGGTTTGTCTGATTTTTCGTTGTGTTTTCTGACTTGTTAATTTGTTTTTGGATTTGTCTTTGTGTTTTCTGACACGTTATTTGGTTTTCGAATTTGTCATTGTGTTTCCTGACTTATGTTTTCTGAATTGTTGTCGTGCATTATGAATTGTTATTTTGTTTTTTAGACTTGCATTTGCGTTTGTAATTTGTTATTTTGTTTTCAGAATTGTGATTTGCTTTGCACTTTACGGCCACCGTAGGAACATCTTTTCAGCTCAACAGATGACAGGCTTGACAAGGCTATTATTATAGCCATTGAAAGACTTGTATCAACAATAAGTCATTTTCATAACTGTTGGCAGACGTATTCAGACAACATTAACAAAGCCCCGTTTAGCATGTTTCCCACCGTAAATACAGTCACTCAGAGGAATGCCTTGCGGAGGTTTTACGTGACACATAGCAAAACAATTTTGGCAGACGGTTTGGAGGGAAAATATGGTCTTATTTTACTAAGAGACTTGAGAATGCAAGTTACGGTTGGCATAGAAAGGCCATCTTATACCGTCACCGACTGGCGTCACATCAATTCTGTTTTCTGTCACATTGGCTACATAATAACTTTGACGCTGACAGTTCCCGAACTGCATTCTGTCTGCAAGCGAACTGAAGCTAAATATGGCTTATTCACACTTTCTCTAGCACAGTGATCTCAACAACCGTGTGGACACCAAAGAAACATTTTCGTCTCTGTGAATCTATATAAATTTGTTCAGTTAACTAGCATTCATTCGTATCCACTCTGATTCAGTGAGTTAATTCAGAAAGATTCAACTGATTCAAACTCCTGTCCATGAGTCTTTTTGAATGGTTCATTAAAAGGATTGACTCAAAGGAATCACTTGTTAGTGAATCAGACAACACTGGTTGCATGGTTTGTTTTGGATTCACTGACGTCAAAAGAGTCATTCTAATTATACACATTAAATGTATTGTTTGAATGGCGAAAAAAAACAGATGACTACATTATACATCAAATAAATACGTCGACATGAAATACTGATTCTAGATTAAATGATTTCATAATCTTACCTGTATAATATCCTAAAGCTACACATATATCATTACGGTTTTGTGACAGGGATAGATACAAAACATGATTTAGTTTTTGCTTTAGGCTGGAAAATAATTTTTACAAAACATGACTCATAATTAAATGGCCTGAAATGAAAATAAAATAAAAGATTTTAACCAATAATGTCTGTTTTATGAAAATACTTTTTTTCTCCATTACCTTCATAATGATACTTCCAGCTCGAGTTCAAATTGTTCCAGAAAACACCAGATTTAGCATTTCATTGATATAACTTGAAGGAGGAACAGGAGCTATTTAATGATACTGGCACAAACACACACTGCTTTGAAGTGTTTTCTGTTTTCATTCACAATCATTTTTGATATCAAGAGTTGGCGTGAACCAAGAGTTCTTCTCAGGCACGGAGATGGGGAAATATTACTGAAACAGCCTGCCTGAGCTTACCGAGAGTGCACCATGACCCACAGCCATTTTCTAAATATAATCTCTCCCAAAGAACATCGCAGCGCGAGTCATTATGCACATAACTCAAGCCAGTGACTCCAGGTCACGAAGCAACTGGTCTCATTTGATGCTTTTCAGTTGAGAAGCATCATCATACCTCAAAACAAAACAGGAAGAAACATCATTCTTCAAAATATTAACATTTTAAGCAGCCACCACTGGCTGGAAACACACATGACATCTTCTAGGTGCTTTATCCTTTAAGTTTGATTGAGGTTAGCAAGGAATAAAACTGTAAAACATAACCAGAACCCATAAAGAATGAATTACATTTTAAAATATAAAGGATATTAATGGATGATTTGTCCTTTAACATTTGTAGAAGCAATTAAGGAACTCCAGCCTGTGCTATAATGTGAATATATTTACATACACATAGTGGTGTATTTCAAGCTACATTTATTTGATTGAAAATACAGCAAAAACAGTAATATTGTGAAATATTATAATACTTTAAAATAACTACTTTCTATTTTAATATATTTTAAAATTTTATTTATGAATTTCAGCCATTGCTCCCATCTTCAGTGTCACATGATCCTTCAGAAATCATTCTAATATGCTGATTTGCTGCTCACGAAACATTTCTTATTATTATCGAAAATTGTGCTGCTTAATATGTTTGTGGAAACTGTTATCTATTATTTTAGTAACCTATGATGAATGGAAAGTTCAAAAAACAGCATTTATATGAAAGATATTTTTTGTCACTTTGGATCAATTTAACGTGTTTAATTGCTCAATAAAAGTATACATTTATTATAATAAATTCTTACTGACCCTAAACTTTTTAACAGTAGTGTTTATATTTTCGAGTTGATTAGTCTTTCGAATCTCCTCCTTATTTTGAACAGACACATACACACAGAATTATGTCAATAGTACCCGTCTCGACGATCATTCTCGTAAACGCAGTCAGTTATGTTTTAAATGAATGTAAACAGCTGAGAAAGAAATCGGATGTGTATCATTATACTGGATCC